GGCCTTAAGGGGCCTGGACGGGGCCGTAGCGGGGCTGTAGCGGGGCCGTAGCGGGGCCGTAAGGGGCCTAGACGGGGCCGTAGCAGGGCCGTAAGGGGCCTAGACGGGGCCGCGAGAGGGTCGTAAGGGCGACGCGAGGGGCCTTAAGGAGCCGTAGGGGGCGACGCGAGGGGCCTTAAGGGGCCGTAGGGGGCGACGCGAGGGGCCGTAGAGGGCGGCGCGAGGGGCCGTAAGAGGTGGCGCGAGGGGCCGTAATGGCGGTCAACGGGGCCGTGAGAGGGGCCACTAAGGGCGGCTCGAAGGTAGGGAGGGCACACAGAGCGCGACTCGGTCTAGAGTGAAGCGCGCTCTGGGCAGGGGAAAAGAAAAATTATCGTGGTGGGCCCTAGGTAGCGTTCCCACTAGGGAACCTGCTCGATACCATAAGAAGAAACGAGAATGATTGAACTATGAAACAGTTGGGTACATGTACTAACCCTAATTGGGTTGTAGCCCTTATGGGCTACCCCACTACAACCTACACAAATGTATAAGCTATAATGTTCTGACAGAACAGTGCCAGAGGGGTGATCGACCAAGGGCCGAGAGGCCCGGAAATTACCAAACCGTTGCACAAAAATATATTAACAGAGAGGTCTCGTTTGTTGCACGTAATTCTGTTACTAGTGGCATGCACTGGCTAGCTTTTTTGCTCGCGTGTCGTTTAGCGAGCGGACTCTACTGGGAACTCTTAGGGCAGCAAAAAAACTAAAACCCATAGGGAATCTAGATGCAGTTTCGGGATGGATCAACCCTAAAAATGGGGACCTTTCTGGTATTTAGGGTTGATGCCTCCCGAGGCGCATCTGTTTCCGAATGGGTAAATTTTTTTTTTTTTATGTGCGTTTTCGATCGCGTTGGTGATATGTATCACCCATAATAAAATATGTTGTTACGTACTCACGATTTGACACGTCGAATTTTCATTCCAGAACAAGGCGACGCGCGCGCTGTAGTTGACGGCGGCCAAAATCCTTATTGAAGAAGTTTTACACGCAATTCGGTTTCTTCACCAATTCTCTTTAACTCACTGTTCGGCTTGTTCGCCCGTGCGGGCATCTCCGGGTTGAAATCCTACGGTCGAGACATTCCGGCCCTACTTTGATCACCCCTCTAGCACTGTTCGGCCCTAATATGATCATTTCCCCATCTTCTCCACCAAGTAAACCTGCTTGGGCACCAATGACACGTGCTTGTTACCTCTGCGACCGTGCTGTAATTACTGCAGCACACGCAGGAAGTAGGTTCCCGTAGCCTGACGTGGCGACTTCTACGAGTCGATTGGTTGATCCACCCAGATGGCGACATCGTTTTGCATGTCCTCGCGACTCGTCATAACCCAACGAAGGCCGCTGGCTAGTTCGCCACAAGCTCGTCAAAGCTGTTCAACCAAGCTGCGATGAGCTGGCAGCTGTTTCGATACATCCGCTTCCCCCCTTCTCCCCATCTCCCTCCCCCACAAACGCCTTCCTCATCCTCCACCTCCCACGTTCGTGCCTCGCCTGATTCCTCCCCCTCCTCTCTGTCACAGGTTTACGGCTCTCGTTGACCCTTCGTTTATAAGTACGTAGAAAATGTAGAACACGATCACAGCATCGCTCAAGCATACTCGTCACTCACGCCTCCCAACTGCCTCGCACCTGACCAGATAGCGCGAACGCCACGCTACGCCGCCCACCACGGTCCCCGCTTCCCTCCCGCCACCACTATCACTGAGCCTTTCGGTACAAGAAACCACGTTGAGCCGTATCCAACTCCTCACCCGCCCCTTGCCGCTTCGAGCAATTTGTCACATTTTCGTGAAGATTGATTCTACTTGTCGAATCGCATCGCCTATTCACCGCTCTCGCGTCGCCTCTCGTCGCCTCCTGTCGCCTCTGGTCGCCTCTGATCGCCTCCGATCGCCGTATCCATGGCCCGCCTTCTCGCATTTTCCCTGCTCACTCTCAGCTGCGTGCTGCTCCTTGCGTCGCAGGCCGTCGCCACGCGCGTCAAACCGTCGTCGCAGAGCCCTCGTGCGCCGTCATTCGCGATGAACATTCGCCGCCAGCTACTGTTCGGCCGCTTCAGCTGCGGCAGGTCGAACCTCAAGGGATACACGTCCAAGGCCGGTCTCACATCTGGGGAAGAGCAGATGGCAGATTGCAGCCTCAGTAATGGACAGTGTGGACGTCGAACCTCAAGGGATATACTGCTTCGGAACAGCGGCCCGCTGGAATGGCGGCCGTCGTGTCGCGCGAGCTGGATCGCTGAGCTCCGGCGTGCTTGTTCCGCATTCCACCCGCTTTCGCCGCCCATATCCTCGCGCATTCCCTCATCCCCGCGAATTCCCCCCCCCCCCCCCCCCGCGAATTCTTCCTTCCCCCCCTCGCATTCCTCCATCCCCGCGCATGTCACTCCCCCCCGCAGACTGCATCACAAAAACCCTGTGCCAAGTTTGGACGAATTTTGATTGGGATTGTCTTCGCGTAAAAAATTCGGGACCGAATTTCGACCGACGGTTTGAGTCATTTGATAGGAGCTCCGACACACATCTCGCGACAAGGCTTGGCTCGGGTCAAGTTCCAATTTGGCACGCGTGCTGTTCCGGCTGACATTCGCGCGCAATCCGTTTAGGGTCAGTTTTGTGACCAAATCATTAAAAAATGGATTTTCTTTTTGTTTTATTTTGGGAATTGAGGATTTCAGAATTACATTCAATATTCGCGGGTTACAGCTTCCATTATTCAGCATTCTAACAACCAGCAGTTTTAACACCCAGTCAAATAGTCTACGCAATGGTGGGCCCTGCAAGCCCCCGGTAGGCAAGAACAACATCTCCAAGGTCGCCATCGTCGATGAGGAACTTGTTCGGGAAGACGAACGCACCCTGAGCCGGATCGTGTGGGATGCGTCGCTCCACAACGGCAAAGTGTATCATCTGTTTGACCTTGTCACACCACTCGAAGTAGTCCGGCCTGTTTTGTTCCGGCTGGGCCGGAATACGCTTGCGGCGCTTGTCCTGCAGAAGGGGCCACTCGATCTGCAATGTGGTGTAGGGTTGGGTGGATGGTGTATGAGGGGAGGTTATGGGCATATGATCCAACTGAAAGCAGTGAAGACGTCACACCCTACGTAACCGCAAACGCCTAAGCGACCTGGGTTTTAGATGAAGTACAGGCGAGCGGTTTAGGGGATGAGGCATGGGTGTAGTGTCACTTATCTACCTCCTTATCGAAAACAGGCCCCATGCCACCATGCGGCTCTTGAACTTGGTGAACACGACCCCGCTCCTCTTGAAGGAGAGCTTGAACGCATAAGCAAACAAGGGGTTGCTGAAGGGCGTTCCGGTGGCCTTGTCAAAGTGCCAATTGAGGGTCCACTGTTCTGCATTTTGGGAGGGAGCGTATGGGTTGGAAAGGGGGTGCAGATAGATCAAGTGGGGGGGTGAGAGACAGGGTCAGAGTACCACGGCACGGTTATTTGTAGCTGCTGACTGGCTTATGGGCAGGGGGATATGGTGTGTTTGAGACGCACATACCATCTCTGTACTCGGCCAGGAGCTGCTCGTCGTTGAACCACTTCTCCGGGCGTAGCTCAGTGGGCGGGCTATCCACCGCATTGGCGTAATCGGAGAGACCCATGCCGGCGTACGTTGCTGGCCTGAGGGTGCTGTTGATTGTTGACCTGGTTGATGACATCTGGTGGTTGAAGACACCCATGGTTGACTTGTCGTTGTGCAACCACAGCAGATTCATTGACTCTAGCCCTTCGTGAGACAAGTGGACAGCGAACGCCTCGAACACTTCTTCCGGTGCAAGGTAATACTGAATCTTCTCCGGGGGGTTCAGAAACAGGAGCTGAGAGCACACTAAGTAGGCTTTGCTCTGCGCATGGGTGTGGATTTACAACACGACACGGGGAGAGAGAAACCATCAATTATGACCCTGGCCGCGTGACCAACCCTCCCGCGTCCGCCACGTCAGGGAGGAACCAGCCCCACTTGCCATGTCACATCCACCCACCCTATGCCACGTCACCCCCCACCCACCCTCCTGCATCCGCCAAATCCACCAACGACCCTCCCCACGTGACACGTCACACCCACCCTCCCCATGCCACGTCACCCCCACCCACCTGACTTGTGTAGCGTCGTTACGCGCCGCTCCTGTGTACCCTTCCAAGCCGCCACGTCAGCACCAAGCCACACATCCCGCCACGTCACGCGCCCTTGCGTCTGCCACGTCAGGGATCAGCCAGCCACACGTGACACGTCACGCGCCCTTGCGTCTGCCACGTCACCCCCCACCCACCTGACACGTGTAGCGTCGTCACGCGCCGCTCCCGTGTACCCTACCAAGCCGCCACGTCAGCACCAAGCCACACATCCCGCCACGGCACACCCTCCTGCATCTGCCACGTTAGGGAGCAGCCAGCCCCACGTGACACGTCACACCCGCCCACCCTATGCCACGTCACCCCCCACTCACCTGACACGCGTCGCCTCGTTGAGCGCCGCTCCCTTGTGCCCTTCCAAGCCGCCACGTCAGCACCAAGCCACACATCCCGCCACGTCACACGCCCTTGCGTCCGCCACGTCAGGGATCAGCCAGCCCCACGTGCCACGTCATACCCGCCCACCCCATGCCACGTCACCAAGCCACCCACCGCACACGTGTAGCATCGTCACGCGCCGCTCCCGTGTACCCTTCCAAGCCGCCACGTCAGCACCAAGCCACACATCCCGCCACTGCACACCCTCCTGCATCCGCCACGTCAGGGAGCAGCCAGCCCCACGTGACACGTCACACCCG